CAAAAAACCCTTGAGGGAGCATAAAGTGAGTCGTATCGTTTCCTATTCTTTTATTTTATCATGCATATATTGTATGTATGTAAAAATTATAGTTTTATATATACCAAAAACACGGTTACCAAACTGTCACAGTTTCGAGTTTTTTTGCGGGAAAAACCGAACACAGTCTGGTATAACATATATTTCAAAATACATACTTATTAATTAAAAAACACAAAATTAATATTAACTTACTGCCTAACTACAAGCTTACCTTTGTGTATTCCAATGCACCTATTAACAAACATAAAAATCAAATTCAAGTATTTACTGGCACCTTTTTCCGGCAATACCCCTTATACTTTATCAAGTATAATTAGGATTGCGTAAAATAAGCAAAGGCACAAACATATAACAAAAATTAAAAGACGAAGAAAGATCCTTTTATATCTATACCATAGAATGTTAATGAATAGAGAAGGCGCAAATGTTAAATCAAATCTTTTTGTGTACTAATTTGTAATTCCAGTTAGGAAACATCGAAAAAGAAAAATACACCACGCATTGTGCGAAATGGCATAAATAGACACAACGAATATTCCTAAATGAAAAATCGTTGCGCATACCTATTTAGATTTATGTTTTCAATTTCTATGATATGACAAAATACATATATATGAAAATCCTTCTGAATTAAAAAGCTGTATTACCGGTAAAAACCCCAGAGTTTATAATAAAATAAACATTTTATAGGCTATTTTTCCAACTTATGTATGTATGTTGCGTGAGCAATTGCTTATTGAGCAAAGGATAACAATACAACGGTGGCTAAGCGATCGCGTTTCCACTTTTGTGGTGGCTTAGGTCGTAAGCGTGAAGGAGTTAAGCTCAATCCTAATACGAGCCTATACGTTCGAATCTTGTAAATCATAAATCTTAATTTTTATTTTGATTTTATTTTATTATTTGACATTTTAGCTGATCTCAATTCAATACTTGAATAGCACATTTTTCTTCCTGAGATAATTAAAATAGTTCAGGAAAATATGTTCATATGTTTATTGAATATTCCCTTATTATGCGTATTTACACAAATGTGATAATCACACATTCTTAAATACACGTACACTGATGTTTGCTTCTTCTTGCCCTGCACAAACAATGACTTTTGTCCACACTTTTTGCTTTTTGCGAGAAGCAAGTTGAACGATCGCATTTCATCAGTATTTTTCAATACAAATTAAGCAACATATTAATAATATATGAGTCCTCACTTGACACGCCTCTGTGCATGGTGGCAAGCCAACGAAATAACGGCGAGTTCCCGCGAGTTAATATCGTTTACACGATATGAGTCGAAAGAAATATACTTTTGAGCTGCACCGAAATGTGTGCTCTTTATTGATATTCTTAAGACTAACTAATTTACATAAATCTTGGTGCTATTAATACTATTAGCTGTATCGATAGTTATCTGTTTACTAAGACGGCTTTTACATTGGTACTCTTTTGACCCTCATATTTTTCAAATTCTCTTTTGGTGTCGCTCTGTACATTCACACGGGCAAAAAGAGTCTAGCAACTCGAGTCTAGTTTTTCTGCATTCCTTTTCACAAAACTTTCGTAAATATTTGTGCGGTTCGACGGCGCAACACTTAGAGCGTGTTGCATATTTCATTTATATGTTGAGATGATGGTCACACATTTTGCTTGCAATGAATTACCATGAATATGGTAGAACAATATGCATAATACCTTCCCGCTTAATAGGTTCAAAGAAATACTTAAGACGGGAATGGGAATTCCACCAGAATGTATTGAATATCCGCTACTAATATTTTCAAGGCCAAATTTATAACAAGAATTTCCTAATCTTTAAGTATTAACAATTCATAATTTTCTAACTCCATAATCTATATCTTAATTTTCTCCTTATTTACAATTTTTCAAAATATTTCTATTATTCTATGCATACATATTTGCATATTACATACAAAAAATAGATAACAGAATTCAAATTTGTGAACGAATTCATTTGAAACCGAGCGCTCTTGCAACCATTCAAAGAATTTGAAAGTGAAAAGGAATGCTGAAAAGGGTAGCAGTGAGCTGTTAGGAACAAGAACACAAAGCGTGCCACCCGAACACGAGTGGCACGGTCCCTTCGTCTTTCCTCGTCGTCCCCTCGCCCTCAATAAACCGGGGTTACAAAAGAATCTATGTGTAAAAGTAGAGTAACAGATAAAACTATTAGTTTCTATTGTTATATTTGGGTTGTTATTGATAGTGCATTTCTATTGTTATATGTTGTTTTCATACATTCTGTTCATTCAGAGATAAGGTTGTTTTGATGTTTGTTTGTTTAGAATATTGGTGATATAATGTGATAAGTAATACGTTCCTTAACTCTCCCCGGTGTTCAAAATGAAATGTCGGAATTTTTACATCGATTGATATTTGATTGTACTATCGCATATTACTATTATCATTCATTGATTATTTTTATCAATGTGTAATTGTATTATTAACTATTGTACAATATTTTGTTTCATTAAATTTTGATGTTTATAAGTATATTTTTAATTATCGTGCTTTTATTTAATTAATATTTTTTTCGCTGATATTATCATTATTATTAATCTTTTTATATTATATATGGAATTATTATTGTGGGTTTCTTTTGATATGTTTGATTTCATTTTTATTAATGATTTTGTTTTTATAAAAAATGTTTTAAAATTAGTTGTGATATTTTTTTCAAAAGCGATTTCAGAAAAAATCTTTGCTTTTCCTAAGTTTTTAATAGTCGTATTGACCTCGGGGAGTCTCGTAGGATAATCGTATGAGCGTGAATTTTCTTGAAGTCAACAACCATTTTCTCCTTTTTAAGTTTCCCTTGTTTTCGGTACCTTTTTTTGGAACTATTGGTTGGATAATTCCGCCATTTAACAATTTTTCAATTTCTTTCTTGACAAATTCGTGATCAGGCATTAGATGTGGATAATGTGTTGTCCATATCGGATCTTCTTATTTGGTCCTAATTGATGCTTGTATTGTGGTCGTAAACGGTATTCATTCTAGTGTTATAATTTCTTCTCATAAGATCATCGTCTGAAATCATCAACGTCCATTGGGACTGGTGCTGATTGTCGTTGTTTATTGAAGAGGTTACTTTGTTGACATTTATTTCTCTGAATCCTTAAGTTTGGTATGTAGTTATGCTGGTGTCTGTCCTCTCGGTGGGAATATGGTATATTGGTTATGGGTGTCTCCATGTTGATATTGTTTGTGGAAATTTTGCGTTGTTCCACTGAGGATAATCTTTAGGTGAATTCCTCTAGTTGCTTTTTCAATGTTTCCTCAATGCAGCGATTTCTGCATGGAGTTTAACCATTTGGTGTTCCACTTTGATTTGTTATTACTGGCGAATTAACTGACAACTGTTATTTGTTGTCGTCAAAGGCTGCTTTCTTGCTGTTTAGTCGAGGTGTAAACATGAGATCTTCTTTCTTAGATTACTGCTGTTTCGTTGTTGTTGGATTCGGCGCTGTCCGCTTTTTCAGGATCTGCTTTGAATCGTATGCTACTTTTTCAAGCAGTTTGTATTGGAAGTCCTACTTCCCGTGGTATTTTAATTTTATCCTTCTTTAGAATCGCGGAGTTCCTGTCTTTTCAAGGATGTCTCCTGGCTTTTTTTGATAGCAAGTAAAAATTTGCCATCCCGGTTGAGCCCCCAGTTAATATCGTTTACACGATATGAGTCGAAAGAAATATACTTTTGAGCTGCATAGAAATGTGTACTCTTTATTGATCTTCTTAAGACTAACTAATTTACATAAATCTTAGTGCTACTTATACTATTGAGCTGTATCGATAGTTATCTGTTTACTAACAGATAAAACTATTAGTTTCTATTGTTATATTTGGGTTGTTATTAATAGTGCATTTCTATTGGTATTTGTTGTTTTCATACATTCTGTTCATTCAGAGATAAGGTTGTTTTGATGTTTGTTTGTTTAGGATATTGGTGATATAATGTGATAAGTAATACGTTCCTTAACTCGCGGACATTGTGTTGTTGAAAAAAACCAAACGACGACTTTGTCCACAAACATACATATGTATATACATAAATACAGCTCGCATACATATTGACACCAAATTGTGTGAATCGTCGCGGAATTGACAAAATTTGTTTCAATGGACAATTTTACGACAATGACGGTCGGCTATGTTGTCTCGTTTGTCCTTTTTGCAGTGGTTTGGTATTGGTTTTGAAGTTGACTTATGCTCTTTTGAAATATTGCGATTACCGATTGGGCTGCATTTTCATAGCGTCGATTTTAAATAAAATGGGCTAAATCGACAAACTATGAAACAATGATAATAAGTAAACATATAAATGTACTATATGGAGTGTGCTTAGAATATATAATTTTATATAAATTTTATAATTTAATGCCACATATAGTGCATAATATGAAATAAATTAAAGTATTATTTTATTTCGCATGTTGCCAATTGCAAGGGAACATCAGACAAATTCTTCAATTTCAGATTTTTACCTTAAAAAGGTTTTATTTTTAAAAATAATAGCGAGGCGCAGAGTTATGAATGAACGCACTTTGCTTTAAAGCAGACGCACATTCCTTATGAATGAATTTGTTTTCGTTGTAATATGAAATACTTAGAAAATATGCCGCGAGTTTGCAGTTCGCAGTCTACGTTTTTTTGTCACTTGCGCGAATGTTTGATTTTTTGCGAAAGACATATTGAGGGACAACTTGTACAAGTTAACGCTGTTAACGCTCAAAAGATTGAACTATACGTTTCCAACGATACGGAAGCGCATCAACAACAACAATACTTATAAAATGCTGATGCCATGTCTGCCTGGCCGGATCAACGTAACAATAGCTGGTGCATGCGCATCCATTCCGACAAATCAGCAAGAAGACACCTGTGCCCGCAACGTGATGCAGAAGTTTAATGTTAAGAAGTTAATATTGTAAAAATCAGTCTAAGTTTCACTTTGATTCAATAAAGACGGCTTCGGCCTAAAAATTATATTTTTTTGCAAAACGTAACATAAAATATAATAACTGGCGCCCAACTGCCAGTCGCGATCGCCGTAATAAATAATAACTAATGTAGTGCTAATATCTGTACCGCGACTACCGCACCTACACAGCTCCTCAAGTAGCAGCAACAAAGGTGACAACAACAGCTCCTCAAGTAGCAGCAACAACGGTGGAACCAACAGCTCCTTAAGTAGCAACAACATCGGGGAAACCAACAGCTCCTCAAGTAGCAGCAACCTACAACATCAGTGCAATCTCCTGGGACAGCAGAACGCACTAACCGCAAAGAGTGCGAAAAAGAGTGGACCTCAGTAGTGGAAAACAAACAGGACAATCCACTCCGCCGCGGGATGATCCTACTGTAAGCATAGACTAAGATATCATCGAAAAACAATAATAGAAAACATATTCAGTTATAGAAGTAAGTGAAAGAAAATAAGAAAATATCGTGAAAATAAAGTATAAAGATTATAGAAGTTTCTTGAAAAACAAAATCGTAATAGAGATTAAAAAGTAAAAGTGGGAAAAAAAGAAGAAGTGAAATATTCAAATTAAAATTAATAAAAACGGAAAATATCAAATTTAAAACGAAAAAAAAAATATATATATATACAGAGAAACATTTCAAAAGAAGATATATACATAAAATAAAAATATATATTTGTAGAAAAGTAAAGTTAAATATACCAATTAAAATTAACGAAAGGGAGTAATATTCAATTTGGGAAAAATTTTTTTTATAATTAATCACTCCATCACCCCAGAACTATCCAACATCATACGAAATATCGTAACTCAAGTTATTTTGACAGACGCCCCAGCTCTCATTGAGAATATTATTCAACCANATCATAGAAAAACAATAATAGAAAACATATTCAGTTATAGAAGTAAGCGAAAGAAAATAAGAAAATATCGTGAAAATAAAGTTTATAGAACCGAAAAACAAAATAGTAATGGAGATAAAAAAGTAAAAGTGGGCAAAAAAGAAAAAAAATGAAATATTCAAATTAAAATAATAAATAAAAACGGAAAATATCAAATTTAAAATAAAAAAACAGTAAAACATTTCAAAAGAAGATATATATATATACCAATTAAAATTAACGAAAGAGAATAATATTCAATTTTGGGGAAAAAATTTTCATTAGAAACTATAAGAAAAAAGAAAAAAAAAAGAAAATAGGAAAACAAAAACAAAAAATTAATTATTAAAATAATATAAAATAATAATTAATTATTAAAGGATTATACAGTCAATAATTAAAAAAAAGCAAGGCCGCGATTCACCACCTTTAAGGGGGACCCTCCGGCTTTATAACACACAACAACTGCGATTCACCACCAAAGGGACTCTCCAGAGATTGATCACTTAAATTAATAATTGATTTGAAAAAGTAAAGAAAAAAAAAGAATAACTTAAATTAATTGATTTCATTTAAGTTAGAAAGCAACCATTAAATCAAAATTGCAAAATCAAAACATTATTAGACCACCCGTTTTAAATCCAAACGTTCCCCCTCCACAAAATCCCAATACAACTCCCGAACTAGAAGCTCTTATCAGTAGAATTGTTAAGGAAATTGTAGTTAGAGAGAACATAACGAATAACCCAAATAGCATACTGACTAACGCAATTGACCAGACTATTGACCCAGAATACCGTGGACGATCTTGGCAAAATACCTGACATTATACGAAGCCTGCGAGAATTCTCTGGAAACCCCGGCGTATTTAACTCGTGGAGAAAAAGTATAGACCGCGTGCTTAAGATCTACGAAGGCATCAGAGGTACCCCAAAGTACTTCAGTATCTTAAGCGTCATTAGAAACAAAATTGTAGACAACGCCGACGTTGTCCTAGAATCGTATAATACTCCACTTGACTGGAAAGCTATCTTACATGCCTAACAACCTATTACGCGGACAAACGCGACGTTACCACCCTTGAATGCCAATTAGCCTTTTTAGTACAGGGACGGAAAACTATCTCAGAGTTTTACCAAGAAATTTACAATCACCTTTCTCTCATACTCAATAATTTATCGAGTCTTGAAATGGGACCCGAAGCCCTTCACCTTTTAACCCAAACCTATAGGAACAAAGCTTTAGATACATTCATAAAAGGACTCAATGGAGATTTTCCTAGACTCCTAGGAATAAAGGAGTCAGTAGACCATACCAACCACAAATAACAACATATCACTAAACAACACCGTATTACCAAACAAAACCATATCACCAAATGTTACAAAATTACTTCAATAGACAACCTATCGGCCAAAACCAATACGGCAGACCACAATACCAACAGTATCAACAAAACTTTCAACCACCACGACCTAACGGACCAAAGCCACAGCCCAAGACAATTCCAATGGATATAGACCATTCGCAACAAACAACAGCAGTCAACTACATCAATAGACCCAACTTCAACGGAATTGCAGGCAAACGACCATCACCATCATCTAACCAATTAAGCAACAACTACCCGAACAAATTTCAACGAATCAACTATATTGCACAAGATACTAACGAAAATAATAAAAACTACGAAGAAGATACCACCCAATATGAGGAAATGCAACCATGGGAAGAATGCAACAACGAATATATGAGAAAAGAGCAGGACAACCCAGAAAATAATTTTAATGATTTCGTAGACGTTTATTTTTTAGACTAACCTCCTTATCGCTACCTTACTTCGAGTGTAGGACGAGCGATGGAAAAATATTAAAATTTCTAATAGATACCGGTTCAAATAAGAATTACATTCAAACTTTATTAGTAAAAAACCCCAAACCCAATGAAAACCTTTTTTTCGCAAAATCAGTAGGCGGCAATATCGAAATATCACAACACACCGAACTCAACCTTTTCGGACTCAAGGAAGAAAAACACAAGTTTTTTATCTTACCCACACTTAAATCCTTTCATACAATTCTTGGCAACGATAGCCTAAAACAGCTAAACGCAGTTATATACACATCAGACGACTATATGCTCGTAAAAAACAACATAAACATGCCATGAAAATCGTTACAATTTAAATAACAAAATTACTTATATGCATTTGTTTTTTTTATTTTCAGTGTTTTCTATTTTTCCATTTCAGATTTTTATTTAGATTAATATAATTAAGAAATACCTATAAGTATATTTTATTATTATTTTAATTAAATAATAAATTAATTAATAAAAAATAAATAAATAAAAATTAATTTATTTGCATTTAATTCGTTAAATATTTGAGGTTTTGATAATACATAGGTAAGTATACAATTTTTTGATTTGACCACCAGTTAGTGTTCACTTCGTTTACACAAAGCAGCTAAAAATAGAAATTCATACATAAATACGTGAATTGCCACGGTCTGTTTGTATGCACTATGACTTGTATACATACAACCAATTCAATATGCCATATACTTGTATTCATAATTACAAGAAGAAAAAATTCATTCATGTATCTGCATATCTACATACATGAAAACGTGAATATGTCACGGTCTGTTTGTATGTACACACGTCATATGCTCTTCAATATGCCATATATTCATACAAAAAGAACAAATTCATTCATACATATATCTACGCATTCAAATAACACTAACAACAAATTCATTCATACATATATCTACGCATTCAAATAACACCAACAACAAATTCATTCATAAGAACGCGCATATTCTACAAGTTGCCCAAAAGCTGCTTCTTCATGGTGATACTAAAAATCAGAAGTTGAAGAATTTTCTGATGTTCACTCCAGAAGAGAAAAATGGCAACTTGGGTCATTGCCGATTTAATATTTTTGTTTTTTAATTTTCATATATTATACTACATATGGTTTTAAATTATAAAATTTATGTAAAATTGCCATTTATATGAAATCCTTTATTACTTCTATATATTCTAGGTAAACTACATATAGTGCTTGTATATGCTTACTTATTATCATTCTTTTATAGTTTGTCGATTTAGTCCATTTTATCTAAAAACGACGCTATTAAAATGCAGCCCAATCGGTAATCGCAATATGTCAAAAGAGCATAAGTCAACTTTCAATAGCAAATCACTGCAAAAAGGACAAACGAGACAACATAGCCGATCGACATTGTCGCAAAATTGTCGATTGAAACAAATTTTGCCAACTCCGCGACAATTCACACAATTCGGTGTCAATATGTATGCGAGCTCGTATGTATGTATGTAAATATGTATGTTTGTCGACAAAGTCGTCTTTTCGTTTTTTTCAACAACATAATGTCCGCCCGAACTCGCCGTTATTTCCTTGGCTTGCCACCATGCACAGATACGTGTCAAGTGAGGGCTCATAATGTATTAATATGTTGCTTAATTTGTATTGAAAAATACTAATGCATTAATGACTTATTGACGTAATATAATTAATAGATACATAAAAATATAAATACAAATAAATTCATACCTATAATGGTTTTAAAATAAATTCGATTAATAAAGACATATCTGAAATAATTATGTGGCAGTGCGCCCCTGAGTCCTCCTTGCCAGCGATCGTTCAGCTTGCTTCTCGCAAAAAGCAAAAAGTGTGGACAAAAGTCATTGCTTGTGCAGGGCAAGAAGAAGCAAGCATCAGCGTATGTGTATTTAAGAATGCATGTGTGATTATCACATTTGTGTAAATACGCATAATAAGTAAATATTCAATAAACCTAAACATATGAACATATTTTCCTGATATATTTTAATTATATCAGGAAGTAAAATATGCTATTAAAGAAATTGAATTATGATATGCTTAGATTCCAATTGATAAAATAAAAAATTAAATAAAATTTCAGTTTCATGAGTTTTAGGATTCGAACGTATAGGTTCGTATTCGGATTGTGCTTAACCCTTTCCCGCTTACGACCTCAACCACCAAAGTGGAAACGCGGCCGCTTAGCCACCGTTTTATTGTTATCCTTTGTTTAATAAGCAATTGCTCACACAACGCACATATATAAGTTGGAAAAATAGCCTATTAAATGTTTATTTTATTATGAATTCTGGGGTTTTTACTGGTAATACAGATTTTTAATTCAGAAGGCTTTTCATAACTATCAATTTGTCATATCATAGAAATTGAAAACATTAATCTAAATAGGTATGCGCAACGATTTTTCATTTAGGAATATTCGTTGTATCTATTTATAGCATTTCGCACATTGCGTGGTGTATTTTTATTTTTCGAAGTTATATTTTTCGATGTTCCCTTATCTGGAACTACAAATTAGTACTCAAAAAGATTTCACTTAACATTTGCTCCTTCTCTATTCATTAACATTCTCTGGTAAAATGATAGGATGGGAAAATTAACATTTTAGCAGAGAATCTTTTTGAGTACTA